AAATGGATGTTTATACATTGAAAATATATAGCCTCTTTTATGTTTTAGGTAAGAACAAGGGGGATCATAATGGCAACAAAAGGTTTTAGAAGTCTGGTGATTTAAAATTTTGTCTCATTCTCTTCTCAGAGAAATTCAAGAATAGCTGGAAAGAAGAAAAGGATGTGTACAAAATGCTGAAGGATGTAACCGACACCGTCCTCTCCACAAGCGGGTACTCTGAGGTCAACCTCGGCAAACTTTTCCAGGCCTTTACAGCCCTCAAGTATTGACCAACTGTCCTGAAGCGAACCTGGGTAATCAAATATGGCATAATATTTATGCTTATCCTCCCACCAAGAGAAACCGTACAATGTTATGTTTTCATCTTTTAATTCCTGTCTGCTGTAAATACACCTTGTGATTCTGTAATCTATGCTATTTTCTAGCTCACTCGCTTTGCATTTGTAATCCCTGACAGCGTTTTTGTGCCTGATGGCTTGGACATGAATTAAGGTCAAAGGTGACGAGCTCACAGTCAATCTGCATGTAATCACCAAACCTTTCCATGTTTGAGCACCTGTCTCTCTCTCTAATCTGTGTTCTTGTGTCCCATCCCATTTAGCCTTTGTCCAGGTCTAATCGATGATGAATCTGTGGTAAAATGGCTATGATAAGGGGCTAAAGACACTCTCAATACAAACCCAGCCCCCACTCCCCTGGTAGCACCACACACACTGGGTTTTTAGAGATAACAATCGGGTAATGACAGGCAAGTTCATGGGGGGCTTGTAGCGGTTTGAAGGGGTCTTAGTTCAGTAATGACTTCTCTACTACCCCCTTCATCTTTAACAGCACAGCAATTAGCCAATGATACAGAGGTAGCCAGTGATTTGTGGAGTTTCGAACGTGTTTGAAATGCTCTCAGCTGGTATGTTGCAAATTTATTAGACAGATCGCATCATTGTGGCAGCTTGTGTTGCATATTTTGAACGTTTATTGCTTATAAAAGTGTCTCAAGATTCTTAATTGTTTTTGATACGGAAACATCAATAAAATGATTTCATAAAATGTTCACATTTCCCTTTTTTCCCCCCTTTTTGATTGTTTTATTTCACCATGCTGCAGGGAGTGATGACATTTACACATTTGAAGAGGGCGAGTTAACGTCTCCAAATGGAAGGCTCCTTTTTCAAGACCCGGAGAATGGCAAGCCAAGAGTGTGTGAAAGCGAGGAGATTAGTCTACTTAAATCGAGTCGGTTTTTAGAATGTGGTGCTTCACTCGCTCATTCCATGTGTTCATAATGACAGTTAGACGATGTCTTAAACCATTTCATCAGATGTCAATTTCCATAAATGCCATGCTTGAAAAAAATCGCCTTAAACGGCTGCGACATGGCACCGACCTTGGAGAGTGCAGCAACACTTAAGAGCTACTTTCTGTCCGCAGCTTGACAGAAGGCATTTTGCGCATTGTAGGCCTATGCTGCTGATGTATTAAACTCATATTGGCCTATATGTACATTTAGCTTAATGTGCGCTCCACAACGAAACTTAACAGATGCAGGTAGTTCCTGAATGTTATGTCGCACTTTTATGAGATTAAGTCATCGCATGATGTGGGGCTTTCAACAGGACATTCCTTTAACCGCGAACGCGCTTTTGTCATGCCCGCGGAGGCCGTTTTCAAACTGGGCCACTCAATGCAGACGAGGCTTTGCATTAATTTACCCCACTAAGCTAATAAGAATGATTCGTTTTTGTTATGCTAAGCTTTATTGCCTGTCTTATTGACCAGAATGGTGGTGTTGAGCAAAGCGGTGGACAAGGTTCTCTTTGATGAGGGAATTAGTGCCCTATTCTTTCTCTATTATTCATGGCATCATGGAATATGTAAGTACCCGTGGGTGTCAAAAGGAAAGCCGGCCCTATTGCAAAGTGCTCCTCTTGTTTCTCTGAATAGCAGGCTATGAGATGATAAACCGCTTAATACACTGGTCTAATTGGATGAGGGTAAAAGACGAAGGAATTAAGGCACGCCAAATGGGGACGATTCCAGTGGCCCGCCATTCAGCCCTTTTCACCGTGATTTCTTACTCTACTGCTCCAATAGGAGACGAAAAGCTCATCAAAGCGCCTTTAGTGCTTTCACCTACCCCCGGTGTCTCGAGCTGTCGGGATGGAAAAGCGTGATTATTCACTGGTTGTTGAAGCACAGCCCAGTGAGCTAAAATCAAGGGAATGCATGTGAAATTTTACCATGCATTTATGAACTCTCAATGTATTTTGATATTTCATGTTGTTTTAGTGTTTCTTGGGAACATGTAAACAATGACTTTTAAAAGTTACCATTGACACAAGAAAAAAAAATCCAGTATTTTTTTCTACAAAGATGCCGTTTTGACTGAGAAAAAAAAATGTATTCTCTCTCCTGTTTATTCTTTTATTTGTATTATTTAAAAAAAAAATTCTAATAGACATATTTTACTAAAGAGATGTAAGGTATCCACCCTGCTACCATCATAAGGATTATTAAAATGATGCACAATTCCATAAATACAATCTTTTCATAATGAACTCTTAAGGACAAGGGTTTGTCAGTATAATAGGATTTTAAAAAATGGAACGCTGCTACCAAGATTTTGTACAGTAAACTGTATTTACAGATTAAAAACTTGATATTTGTAGAAACATTTTTTTTTCTAATAAAGGTATTGTCATGACGTTGAGCACAAGACTAAAATAGCTATACAATTAACTTTTTTGAAGACAGATATATCCATATATATATTACAGTATATATATGTATAATTTATTAACATTTAAAGCCATTTTTGTCTGATAGAATGTTTCAATTTAGTTTTGAGTAGCTTTTTGAAAATGAAGCATGCACTCATTTTGCTGGAATGACTTGGTGCCTTTGATTTTTATTGGTGGTTCCCAAGCAGGTGTTTTGGCACTCTTGAGCATACTTTGTGGTCAGAACGTTGGCAATGAATCAACTACACACTCTCCACAAATAGAGAGGCAAATTTAGTCTCCACAAAGCCTGTTTCTTCATTCATTCACGCATTGTAAGAAAAGAGTTAAAGAGAAAGTCGCCCTAAGCACTTCGGGTCAATGCCTCTACAATTGTGGCGAGCATTCCCCAGATATTACGAGCAAATTGGTTTGCGATTCATTAACAATGTTCACAATAAGATTAAGGCATTCTGGAAGATCTCATAAAAATCCCAACAGAAGTGGACTGCACGCTCCAGTGGTCCCTTCCACAAATAGAGGGGGGGAAAGTATGCACCTCGCTTGGAGGTATGGCACTGGAGAGAAAATTGGTTTCCTTTGCTTAATGCTCCTTTGAACATATTCTCGCATGCCAACATGTTCAATATGGACTTGCTGCGAGAGGGGGGTCCTTAACGCGCGATATTTAGGAGAAGGATTTGTTGGGCGTTATAGGAGCACTGATCCCCCATGCACGCCTCCCAACCCGTCTTCATTTCGTTCCTTCCATCTTTGCTGATCCTGCTTGTTTGTGGCGTCATAATGAAACGGATTAGCGCGGGTAAAACAAGGAAAGGATAAATCTTTTCGGCGGCGCGCGCGATAAAGAAGAAAATAATCCTTGAGGTAATTTCACGCGATTTGGCTGGACACCATGGACGGGTCAAATGGGCGAAAATGACTTCGTTTGAATGGAGCGCATTGATTGCAGTAATGGCATCGCTTCGCGCGTGAGATCCAACGGAGAGGGATTTGGGGAATTAAATAAGGAATTCGAAAGAGACTTTTTGATAAACTGCTTGTTACTTCATTAATGAGAAAGGGACTTAACGGAGTTGGGCATTTACAGATGTTGCGTCCAATTTAGCGCCTCTACATGTTAAGGCCTACAATTAATTACAAGCCGCTTTTTGTCAAGGCCGTCATGAATATCATCATCTGACTAAATACAAATAAATACGTTATTTTGGTTATGCTCGACATAAATTATTCTCAATCATTTACAGCAAACTGAAACAAACAAAAAAGGCTCTTTTCACGACATGAATGTTTATGATTGCAGTTAGCCACACTGAACTGCTGTTGATTCATTTTTAAGTGACCACTTAAATTGTTTTCTCTTATTAGTGACTCCAGGCTCCCCACCGAATTGCCCATTTACTTCTAGAAATAAACTTATGGCTATAAATCGGCACTATAAAAGCATATATATGTGTATGATCATTAGATAAAATGAATTTAAATAATCAAAAAATTCGCGCCTATTCAAGCATTTACGATACAATATTAGGCCTGGTTATATTTTGCAACAGATGTTTTTTTTGTGATCGACATTTCATTTCACCAAATATTTATTATTTTAAATATATAATGATGTAGTTAAGTTTTATTTGCTTTATTTTAGAACTGCAGAAATATTTCGTTTTCCAAGTAGGCTATAGCCTAGCCTACTAATGGTGTTTTGTTTAATTTTTAACATTTTTTAAAAAGATGACAATAAAATGATTGATAACCTTTAAAAAGTGTAAACTTATTATTTCAGTAAATTCAATTCGCATTATCAGGTGTAAATAATACAGAAGGGTCTATGTTTCACCAGTTTCTTTTATTCCGACTTGGTCCCTGCGCGCGACAGGGAAAATTCTCACTGAATAGCAAAACTTCCCGGTCTGGATTTCAAACTCTCTACCGGGCAGACATAAATAATCATCTAAAAATCTCAAATTTGAATCAAACGAACAAAGTATGAATCTACGTGAAACCATTCCTACAGTACTACACCGAGAGCATATTCTCAAAACATCTTTTGAAATAAACTATTTTTTTCTTGTCATTTTGCCCCCATTTTCAGTCCTTTTTTAAACAGAGCTATATATACAGGATACCCTTAACAGATCAGTAAACAGGCTAAAGTTTAGATTTTCACATTGTTCATCCTTAAAACAAACAAAACATTTCTTTTTCATAATTTTTTTTCTAAATATCATATTTAACATAAGAGTTGGAAACGAACAGAAAGTAAAGCGGAGTATTCGTTTTCAGACATTTGATTTGTTTTGCCAATACTGAGGCCAAACGTGAATGGATATGGTTCCGGTTGGGTAGCAGGTTGTGGCAGTTCCCTTTGGCATATTGACCCATCTCTGCTTCAGCACTGAGAGAAGACTAGGAAGAAATGTCGAGTTCTGTGTGTATTGCAGTGTGGTTCCAATGATTCTTCTCTGTGTGGGTGTACAGTAAATGTGTCTTTTACCACAATTGCTCCTGACCCAAAGACCCGACTTATTCAATGACTTTACCAAGCATAGCCTCCCTAACTTACCCTCTGAGATGCCTACATTACACTCAGAATCTTTATGTTCAGGGTTTTGAAACATGTTTGGTGCACTGTGTAAATTATAGTGATGATGTCCAGTGGGAGGCGCAGTGACTTGGTGATGACTCCAGTTTCAAACGGGTCTCCGGTGTACTAGTGCTATATGGATTTGGTCGTGCTTTTTGTTGAGATGGTTTCTTTAATATTTTGTTTTGTTTTTAAGGAGAAGGATCAGCACACTTCCTTCCCTGCAGTGCCGGACGGCAGGATGTTCAGTTGGGTCAACTGGGCTGAATGTTCCTTTGCTTTGAGACGCAGAGCTGCGATGCTGGATGCCCTGCGGTCGGCGGCCATAGAGGATGAGGAAGAAGGAGGTTCTGGTAGGGTTGTCGGAGGCTGCACTGGAATCTCCACTGGCGGTGCAGTTTGGCGCAAGAGAGCGGCGGCCGTGGAAGCACTGGTCAGAGGACCCAGACTTGAGAATAGTCTAAACAGAAGAGAGCGTTCCTGTGATACAATGTACAGCACTCATGCTCACACACCAGTGATTATACAGCTAATATTTAGGTTTAGCATCAGTCAGATGAGTCCAGGGTACAACAGAAGAGCCATGGGCATTTATTAGATGTGGTAATTACTCTTAGAAATAAAGGTTCTTTATTGCCATATGGTTCCATGAGGAACCTTTAACATCAATGGAATCTTGACATTGCACAAAAGGATCTTCAGACTGGAAAAAGGTTCTTTAGATTTTTTAAATGTTCTTCACACTAAGAAAAATGGTTCTTCTAAGAATTGTTCACTGCTAGGTTCTTTGGAGAATCCAAAATGGTTCTTCTATGGCATCACTGCAAAAGCTTTTGGAGGCTTATCGCAAATGGTCTTTACCTGCCAAAAGTAGGTCCGATGAAGGCCGGATGCCTGAACATCGCTGTGCCCAGGAAGGTTCCTAGGCCGAGGGGTGTGGCAGGAGGGAGGGCAGAGCTGTTTGGGGGTGGTGCCAGGCCTGGGAATGCGGCAGCAGCTGCTGCTGCGGCAGTCCACGCTGACTCCAGAGCTGGGTGAGGTGGGAAGGGTCCTCCTTCCAGGTAGTGACTCAGGGGGTGAGCGGCTGTCAGCGGCCCAGGAAAGTGCAAGCCCGTGGGGTGAGCCTGGACACCTGCCTTTTCACGTTTCCTCCACTTCGCTCTTCGGTTTTGAAACCAAACCTAAGAGTTGGGAGAGAAGCCTCATCAAAGTCCAAACTTTACTAATAACTGCTGGTGTTCAGATGAATGCATCTATGCGATTAAGTTTGGAGTGAGGAACACACTTAAATAGCTGGCTTTGAGAAGTTGTCCCTTCCCGTTTCGGATCCAGAGCCATTAATATTCCACCTGACAGCCAGCATGGTCGTTTAAGCATGAGCTTGTTGCTCTTGTTCATGTGCAATATTTGGTTTGCTTTAATGAGGTGACAAATAGGCTGGAAGTCAAGGGTAATTACATGGCCCCAAACTTACGGTCTGTTACCCTAACTTTGCTAATTAAAATCTGGTTCGGGCAGAGCAAAAAACGGGGTGGAGCGTGGTAATTAAGAGCCGTGTTAACAAAAGATGTCGGACTAAGAGCTGAACAGCATCCAATAACAATTAATGCACTTTAAATTAAATTTCTCCAAATGTAAGTTGCTTGAAAAGGCTATTTAACTTTCCCACGATCCCCGTCCTGTCCTGCTAAACCCCACCAGGTTGTGCGGCAAGGACACGACCTGCAGACAGGGACTTCATAATGAAGGAAAGTGTCAACAGACAAACCAACAGGGACCTCGGCCCCTTTCACACATGCTCCAAACCGTTTTGCATTACGTGGCCCCTGGGGCATTTATTAGCTATATCACCTCCTGATCGAGCCTGTTAAGTGATTTGTTCTCCCACATCTCCAATTTGACATCTGTTGTTTTACATGGCCAATAACCCTGGTAGCTTCCTCATGTTTGCACTGTCTCTTTGGTTATGAGAGTTGGGCTTGAACATGCGAGCCACGCTTTGAATAGAGAAAGGAGGGGTGGCAAACACCCTTAATAGTCTCTCACTCGTTCCAAGTGCAAAGCATCGGATCAATGCCGGTCTATTGCAATCACAAAATGGGAAATCAAATAGCATTATCCCCCTACCCCTCCCTCTCCCCAGCGCCGGCGATGAGAATTCAAACACCATTTTCTCCCTGGAATAGCAGTGTTTGCTCTCTCGCTAAGTGCGCTTTTATCAGGGGCGTCTGTGTAATTGCCGCTAAAATGTGCGCTCTATTGTGTATAATAACTTTCGATAACAGGAAAGACCTTGCCATGACGTACAGGGTCATTTAACCAAGTTTACGATTGTCACTTTAAAATGAAATTAAATATAGACCATTAGGTATATTGTCTTAACGTCTATAAGCAAGCAAATCGCAAGAATTCGCAGGCTCACATCATTTAGTTCATCTTTACCTTCAACATGTCGACAAGTTGTCATATTACAGGCAATTTCTCTCTATTCGCGGCAATTTAAATGCTTTTAACATCTGAATGGAGTCAAAGTTCTCAATTGTGTTTCATACAGTACTCGTTAATATTATTATGCATTTAAATTCGATATATTTTAGGTTTTATTTTTGTGCTCGAAAGGAAGAAAAGTAAGCACTCACTTGCACGCGCGCTTCTGTCAGATCCAGCCTCATCGCGAGCTCCTCTCTGGAATAGAAAACATAAATCATTAAAATGTGTGCAGGGATTTTTTTAAACCCACAAACACCGCAAGAAAACTGATTTTGCCTAAATTGTCAGAAACCTATGAAAGCAATTGAGCAATTGAAAGCTGATGAGAATCGAATGGATAACTTGTACGTTTTTATAATGGGTCGTTTCGACTGTAACAACATGATGGAAATAATGGCATCTAGACTATTATATGAAAATTGAGCATTTACTGAAAATATACCTGGCTAAATTGATGACAATTATCTACCACGTCAATATAAACATCGATATTTCATGATCAACAACGAACATTTTGGTTAAAGAAAAACGGTCCTCGGGTAAATCTGTCATTAGGCATACTGATGTTTTTTATTTGATAGACTTATGTTGTCTGGCATATTGATTATTGTTCTTTTATACAACGTGACTATACGAATAACGGATAAATGTGGGGCAATATTTTCAAAATAAAGTTCAAAAACTAAATTCTTATTAATGTTCAAATTTCGTAAACCGTGATTTCCCTTTTAAAATAAAGAACATTAATTGTATAGCAACATTTTTATAAACAAAATAGTATAACTCAAATAGAATTTTATATCCATGACATAAGGACAAAGTAGCCCACATCAGATCAATATAAAAAAATAGGCCTAATTTTATCATGCTATTTTATTTAAAACCATGACATTTTTAATTGTTTATAATGCTTAACGTATATTTCAGTTTGTCTTGTCCGCATTGTCATGGCTTACTTTTCTAATGCTATTCCAGAACCCAAAAATTTGCATTTTATCAGAGACACTAAAAAATGGGCCTAAAACCCCTTCAGAACAGTCAAACTTAAATAAACCTCTTAATTAAAACTATTAATTTATACATTTGAGTTTGAAGTAGGCTGCTGCTTTCCTTGAGCTCTTTTAAGGCCCACATATATTTATTTTGACGGTCACGAATGTTCACAGTGTGATACTAGCAGTATTAACTAACCGATCCATAGAGAATAATGTGAGTTTCGGTCTTATAAGAATAAATTGTACAGGACAGGACATAAACGAGTGTGCACACATTTTAGTGATTATTTCTCTGATATCTACTACAGAATGTCACGCCAATTATCTCCTCGATTTAATAAAACGATCAGCCGGTGTATTCTTTTTTCGAGGAAAGCAAAATAGAATAAAATGTAGCTTCTAAACGGAATATATATATATCCACAACAGTAGTGTTGGCCACAAAGGTTTTATTTCATACCCTTTTTTAAATGATTGATTGTTTACATAATTTAATGTTTTCTAAAAAATATATACATCTGTGGCTTTGTATTTTTACAAATATTTGAAATGTTAAAAATATGTATAATTTAAATATAAATATTAAATTGTTTATTTCTTCGAATGTTGATTTGTATTGGAAAAATTATTTATAGTAGGCTATGGATTAGTGATGTTATTTCGATGATTAAAATATATACAGATCTGAATTTAACAATATACATTATTTTATTGATATGCATTTTTTATAATTAGGGAAAAATGCTTATTATATTTTTCGCTCATTTTAAGGCATGCATTCTGTTCATAATATGACTTAAAATCTTAAAATCAAAATCTATACACCATAATAAGCGGTATATCTACCTGGTGAACACATCAGGGTAGTGTGTTTTCTGGAAGGCCCTCTCCAGTTCCTCCAGCTGATAGCTGGTGAAGGTAGTCCTGTATCTTCTCTGCTTCCGTTTAAGCATGCCTTCCTCCGAGTCGCTGCCGGCCGACAGACACACACTGTCCTCTCCATCTTTTACATCCCCATCGTTGTGCAGGCTCTCTTCATCCTTGGGAGACAGACTGGCGTCTCCGCACGCCTCCTCTTTGACAACGTCCTCTTCAAACTTCAGCGTGCTGAGCTCCACCAGCTCCTGGGCCGTGTGCTCGGGGCTCTGGCCTTCATCGCTCTGGCTGAAGGGCGCGTTCTCCCTGTACGATTTGCTACGGCTGATGCTGACTTGTGGCGCTTGGCTGATTTTGAGACTCTCACAGGCTTGGTCCAGCAGTCTCTCCCTCTCACCCTTCTCTAGATGCTCGTGAAACCCCCTCCCGGAGTCCAGGTACTTCCCCCCAGGGCCGTAGAGCCGGCGCAGTTTGGGCGGCAGGTGCATGTCCGCGTCAAACGAGTTCTCTTTAGAGGTGACTGGAAAAATTAAAGAATATAATATTTTTAAATGCACCAAGCACTGTGAATTAAGGCAGCATTATAAACGCACATTCACCTGTTCAGCTTTATGGATTTTGTAAATATTACGCACTCTTAAAAATGTTTTTTGGTGGTTCAGCCAAAAACATATCATGAACCATTTTTGCTGCATTAAGTTATTTTTATACGGTTAGTAAAAATAAAAAGTTATTTTTGCAGGTTCTTCAATACTGCATATTATATAGTCATGGCTATCAGATGGTAATTTGATATATACCATGGTACTGAATGATTGCCATGGTCGAAAACATGGGATTTATGATTTAATACATTTTTGTTAGCCTGATCAAAGTATTGGTCCATTAAGAAGCCATATCTTTCACAGTTTTATGAGGAACACTAAAAGATTATCCATAAAGTTGTAAAGCATTTTGAAAAAAATGTGTTTTAACAACCTTTGTTTGTTTGATTGTTTTTATTTGAGAGGTTCTCAAAACTTTCAGGACTTTTTCACACCCAGAGGTGTGATAACGTCAAATAACGTCAAAGCGTTTAGGCGCTTACCTTCAGCTGACTTGTCGTGGTCCGGTCTGACGGGTGCTGGCAAACTTTGCGCTCCCAGTTGTCTGACTTTACACGGGCTTCTTCTGCCCAGTATACTGTCTATGCAGTAGGAGGAGAGCACGGTGGGCGACTTGCTTTTACATTCGCTTCGGTCGCGGCTGTCGTCGTCGTACTGACTAGTCATATTTGTATCGTCCGAGGTTGTGCTCGAGTGGGTGACTGTTACTCTCTCTCGCACTGTATCTGAAACGGCTCTCTTGCCTATCCCACCCTGGCCGCTAATGCCATATGCACTGCTCCGCAGTAGCTCCGCTCTCCATTCTGTTGCATTGACGTGTAACGCAAATCTGATTGGCTCCCAAGAGAACAAGGGGGATCTTTATATATTTTTCTATTAAAGTTAAACGGTATGAACTCAGCGAATGTTGTGATGGATTAGGCTACTGAATTTACTGATAAGCACCTCCACATTTAGACTGAAATTAGATTAAAAAAGAAAGACTAAATACGTTGCAGATAAGTAAAAACTCTGAACTGAAATCAAATTATTTATCTAAACAAGTGGGAAAACACATTCAGAAACATGTTTTATTTACCAAGATGTTGGATGTTTTATTTTGAATCATAACTCAAATATATTATTATTATATCGTGTCTTTTTAAAATTCCAAATACATAGGCTAAATAAATTAAAAATAAGAAGGTATTCAAATACACTGGCATTACACAAAATACACAAATCTATTTATTTTATTGCGAATAATGCTGAAAGAGCATCTTGCTTTTTTACTATAATTATTTTTATTTTATGTTATACTATTTGATACTGTTCGTGCCATGCATTTATTTTTAGTAATAAAAAAAGGACACAGCCCGTTTGTCTAATTTTGGTTGTTCTGTCTGTCTATCTATCTGTTTAGTTGTGATACTATATTTGATGTTATTTTACACTCTCTGTGCCATAGCCATTTCAAAAAGGAGATACAAGCCCATAGAGGCAAGGCCTGACCGGGTGAATCGCTCACCTGGTCCTCGTGTGCGAATACCCGCACCTAGCATAATTGCCTGTCCTCTCAGAGTGAAGCGATCAGATAGCCATAGATGATTGACTTAAAAAGTGAGGGTGGTGATAATAGGCCGGTGAGAGCGTAGCTATTGCAGGCAACTAGACTCCAGAAGACTGGAGAGACAGATTGAGAATGTAATTTTAAATGAAAGTCTATTTAACCTGATGCGGATGGCATGACCCTATCCGCCGCTCAGACCCATCAATGTTAAAAGGATCATTTTCACAATTCAATCCCAAACTTGAAACGAAGCCGCAATTTACTCGCTCTTCTTCATAGGTTATATGATTCTGCTCTTGGGCTGACTGAGATTATGGTCGTGAAAGTACTGTATGTGAAGAATGCTCGAGTTTAAAAACATTTGTGAAAGTTTTGATGTTTGGTCTTAATTGGACTTTGATATAGGCCTATATCAGCTTCATAAACAAGACTGAACATACACTACGACGATTTCTTATTTCCCCCCCCCCGAAACTTAATCACCAAGCAGATCAACAGAAGAGAGTAATGACAATAATAACAATATAAAACATTTTTTTCTCGTTCCCAAACAGGCGCGTAATGCAGACGGGTATTTAAAGTCGCTATGTAATTTGGGGGCACAATTTGATTCATTTATACGCGCTCTGTTATTAACCCAAGAAAAGAAATGTCAGGGACTATTACCGCCAGCAGGACATCCGTGCTTTGTTTAAATGCACTAATTACACGCACGCATTTATTTATTTATTTTTAAATCGCAATTTTCCCATATTCAGTCCTGAATCTATTTAGCGTTCTACGTGCGGGCAGGCAAGCTGTTAGTGGGTGCCAGTCAGTTTCACGCTCCTCTATTACCCGATACCACAGTGTGTCATATTTTCACAACAGCCTAACTTGATAATTTCTACAATCGTCTTCTGTTTTGCAGGGTTTACATGGCCCATAATCCGTTGGGTTTTGGCTACGCTTATGCAAACCACCCCCTGTTCCGATAACAAGAAGCTTTTCTCAAACTGTAAGTAACAGTAGGTGACACTTTATTTCGTTTCGGTGATGTTATACCAACAACAGCTCAACAGCTGTGTTTTAGAGTGTCTAAATCCCTAATATAGACCCCATCACTCCCACGTTTTCAAGCAGCGCCATCTCCTGGTGTTAACAAAAGCGCTCAGGGATAAATCCAGTCGGTTGAGCAAAAAAACTAAACGAGAATGCATCTTGATCGACGCTATTTTAAATCATCAGTTGTAATTCATGCGGAAAGTTTCCGCCACATTTCTTTTTGATGATGGATAATCACGGATAATTGCATAGGCTATTCATTTAAAACATTTTGTATTTTTATCTATCTATCTATCTATCTATCTATCTATCTATCTATCTATCTAATCTGCCATCTCAAAACATACATGAGCAGGAAATTCAGATTATGAATTAGTTGGTGGTAGAGGTTACTGGTTGAATTTAGGAGCCACACTGATGACAGTTGTGCTCCAGAGGTGGTGTGTCTTCATTCCTGTTGCTGTGACTTAATTGGATGCTGCTCTGCTTGAAAGGGCGAACAAAAAGACGTGCTCTCAGACGCGCGCGTAAGCAAAGTTAATTAGTGGTTATTAACACCACGCATAATGAGAGCGCGAGGGAGTCAATTTAATGACTTTGTTAGCTTAAGTTTAGAATGACAGTCGATGATCGGAACAACAATAGCAAACTAGAACGCAATGATCATCTGTAATTTTCAACGGTAATACGCACTAATAAAAACAAAAGGACTCTAATTTTGTTCAACTGACTCGATAATTTGAATTTATTTAAAAAGAGGGAGAGAAGGAAGAGGAAAGACAACTCAAACATTTTAACCAAAGATTATCCTGTCGTTGGAGACACAAGTAAATAGGATTACAATTGTTTTATTGCTTGCATGCCAAATTATTGTTTATTGGTAGGCTTTCAGAAAGATTCTTCTGTGCAGACTGAGTGATAATTTAATTTAAGAGTGATAACACTAGATTTTGCTCCATTTTCATCCCTAAATACTTTCTGGCATCCATAAGGAATCAAGAGTCTGCAGCTCACAGACATTATTTGCATATCGTATTGTCTACAGATGCATGACTTGCATTGGCCATCCAAGTTCACAACCCCATGACCAGCAATCATTTAATGTTTGAGTTAATTAGCAAAATTACATTTTGTGAGTTATTAAGTTTACTAACAATCACAGCAGGCCCAAATTTTGATTTGTGTTTCGTGCTTTGTGCTTTGATTGGATTCGAAATAACGTCAAACACTTTGTGCTGACATATGAGTGAATAAATGAAAGATTTTTTATTTTTTAATAAACTACTTCTTTAAGTGTTGGGCATTGCATTGTTAATGTTCACATGGGTTATGGGTAAGTCAATAGTATGAGGCAAATGCCTTGTCCAAATACCCACACTTGCGGTCTTGGCCACTTGCGACAGGAAGTAAGTGTGCAAGACTGTCCCAGGTCTTAAAACCGCCAAAGCACAGTGCCCTTAAAGGGATAGTTCACCCAAAAATGAAAATTTGATGTTTATCTGCTTACCCCCAGGGCATCCAAGATGTAGGTGACTTTGTTTCTTCAGTAGAACACATATGATGATTTTTAACTCCAACCGTTGCAGTCTATCAGTCGTATAATGCATGGCAATGGTAACAAAATCTATGAGAGTAAAAAAAAACATGCACAGACAAATCCAAATTAAACCCTGCGTCTCTTGACGACACATCGATGTCCTAAGACACGAAACGATCGGTTTGTGCCAGAAAGCGAACAGTATTTATGTCATTTTTTACCTCTAATACACCACTATGTCCAACTGTCTTTGGGCGCGCGCACGGCACCCGGTGCATGAGGTGTGTACGCGCTCTGGCGTAGTTTACACAAGCGTATAGCCCCTTGCTGCAGCTAACCTTACTTCCACAGGCTACAAACAGCAATATAAACAACAGATGTGCATGCTCTCTTCACGTCGTTCTTGTAAAATAATAATAATTTAATCATATAAGTAAACAAGCACACACACCAGCCGCGAAAGTTATATGCCTTGTACAAATACCGACACTTGCGGTCTTGACCACTTGAGAGCGCGTGCGCGCGACAGGAAGTAAGTGCGCAAGACTGTCCCAGGTCTTAAAAACGCCAGAGCGCAGTGCCCTTAACTCACACTAAACCCACACTATCTCGAATACCGCTCCGGAGCGCTATTCAAGGCTTAGTGTATCCCATCATGCATCATGTTCTGGAAATAAATCGTGAGACTTTTTGCCAATATCGCGCGAGAGGTAACGGAAACCTTTCCAGTGTAAGTTAGATATTAATACAATAAATAGATATTACATATAATTTAATAGAAAAACAAAGTGTTGCACGTTTTATTGGTGTAAAGATGAGTAGTGGTATTTATTTTGTAAACATTTGCAACTTTTTATCACTTAATTAGAAGCACCACAAATTAAATTCTGTCATGTTATAGGGACTACTGACTGAACAGACATTTAGAAGTTGATTTTAAAATGCAAAGTATTTAAAATTAAAATAACGCTATGTAGACACTTGCATTTTTACAACACTATAAGTGTGTCCCATCAGGTAATGAAAAGTTCAACACACACTTGTGGTCTTCATCCTTACTTGAACAGTTGGGCCAAATACAGGAAATACGTCATATAAGTAGCCAAGTGGTCAAGTGCAAAGACCACAAGTGTGGGTATTTGGACAAGGCATAAATAAATTCGGTGCCAATTGGCTCTTGCGGTCGAGAGGGTTCATTGGGAAACACCCACAACTGTATATGGCATCATCACGAAGACGAACAATATGTTTATACGTGAAATTCTGAGATGGTCCTCACTGCATAACACAAGATCTAGAGGGCGTGGTTGGATCTAGATCCAACTCCTCCCACCTTACATATACCTAAACCTACCCATCTCCACCCCCAAATCCCTAAACCTACCCATCTCCACCCCTAAACCTACCAATCTCTACCCACTAGATGTGGATCCAACCACGCCCCCTGGATCTTGTGTTCTGCAGTGAGGGGCTACTGGAAATTCTGGAGAGGACGTCGGATGGCGTCACGTGGGGACGTAATGACGTGTGCCATTAATCGATGTACTATAACATATAAAAAACGGGAACATGAAAGGAATATTCTAAAAGCAACTAATGTAAACACCTTAATCATAATATTGT